CCCAGCGCGAACTACAGTTGCCGCTTCGCTTCGACAATAAATTTCTGATCGCGGAAAAAAATCTACCATTAATAATTTTTTTTGACTCCAGTGACCAGTTCGAGGCAAAATCGGTCTCATATTTCAACCTTTCTAGCCTTTTATTCATATATTTTAATTGGATTTTATTATTATGGTTGTAAGTAAACATCTTGAGATTTGGGGCTAATCAAAATAATTATTTCCTTTTTTGAAGTCGCATATGCCATAATTTTTTATAATGAATTATTGTTATTCTCTTAGATAACAGCTGTATTAGCTCTATTTTATTTAAGGCTAAGAAGGATTGGTAGTTGCATTGTCTCAGTTTTATTCCAAGGGATGGCTCCCAATTTTTAATTTAATTTATTATTTTTTGTTACTAGGTAGTTTCGAGACTATTAGTAAATCAGTCATAGGAGATTTATTCATCCTATTTCGTTTAAGATGATGAATTACCGGTAGTTGATTTTTCCTATAATTATATTAGTAGAGCTGATTTTTCCATTGAATTTTACATAGCCTCGATTTCCCATAAGTTTTTTTTTCTCCAGAGTGGACTGCAGTTTCAACTTCGCCTAGATATCATCAACATCCCCAACGGAAGTCGAACCATGACAGTTTGGCGGGTAATCTCGAAACTACAGTCCACCCTGGATGAGAAGACCTTTTGGGAAAGCGAGGCTATGTGCAATTCAACGGAAAGATAGGGCCTCTTATATTATCGTTGGAAAATTCAACTATCAATCCTTCATCTCTTAAACGGAAATAGGGTAAACACATCTCATACGCATGGATAAGTTTAGAACTCAAAGGTATCATTCGGCATAGTTTTGTGTCTCTCAGTTGGATCTCTCATTAGATGCATATAAGTATCAGTATCATTTAAAGGTTTTCTACAAGACTTGACCTACCCATGACTACTACTGCTCTATCTTTGTCAGCTTTTACCACAATTAGATTATTGCGGCATAAATATCCATAAATCATAATAAGTGCATATGAATAGTTTGGTGTGATTGTCTGTCAAAATGAGGAATCAACTTCTACTCAATACTATTCTTGACCTCCTCAGGTAACCAATCACGTAAGCTAATTAATTCAACAAATATGTCCATAGAATGGTTTACTTTCTTTGGAAGGGCAAGCTTCAATTATTTTTCCAAAAGAGGTTGAACATTATCCAACATTATCCTAGAAGATTATTCAAAATCATTTTCATATCTTCAGAATTACTAGATTGAGGATTCAGAGGCCAATGATTTATCTGCCCAAGATTAATTGGATAGAAGGCTTGGCATTACCATTTGATTTGATTATACTATGGATCCAGAAGATGTATTCACGTAAAAAGCCAGACGGAGTCCTCAATTGCACACAGATCTATCTCATAACCTTTCCTATTGATAGTTGTATCCAAGTTATGTTGACTTAGAAGCAGCCCCACTCCTGTTTTATGGTGTAAGCGTTGATTTTGGGATAATACAGAACACTCTGGTAAGGCATGCACTCTATGAACACAAGCCTCTTACAAATGTAATGGTAATACAGAATCTTCACCCGCATATTATATCATCCTTTAAAAGGATGGTTCAATATTCTCAATATGCTTATCTCAGCTCACTTATTTTATTTAAGCTTACCCTAAAGTCTTCTGAAATTAATAGTGACTAGGAATATTTTGGCCCATTTCCAGATGATCAGCTAAATTATCCAGCCTTTGACCACGTAAGACGATACAGTAACACAACATTTGTGGGTTGGCACACAAGCGACTAGGGCATGGCAAGTCATAGACTTTGTATTAGAGATAGAAACAGGATAGACGCGGCGGCGATGGGAGCTAGTTGGCTGACAGTAGGTTTTACAAGAGACGTGGTCCATGTTTTCAAAGGCCTGACCATGACACTTACTAGAAGATTTAGCCTCGAATTAGTCACCCAACTGCAGAGGAGGGGTAATAACACCTCGAGTAGCAGATAGAGAGAAATACTTGAACTAGAGAGTTCGCAGATGGATTCTAAGGGGCAAGAGAGAGACTGTGGTATGACCTATGGAAGGATGATGGCGTAACAATATGGCAGACTCTTATCAACATTCCCAGCACAAGGATGGAGGGTGGTGAGAAGGCTAGCGTGGAGTGCGGAGGCTCCTCATGAAAGCCGATCAAAAGGTTACACCACACTAGATTTAAATAAGCAAGGGGGAAAAAATTGTAACAGTGAAGGTGTGATATGAGGAAATATAGGAAATGTTAATAGCCCAGGGCAGAAAGTGAGATGCCACAACTGTTTAGCATACGTTTGGTCGAGGGATCAATTCACTTGCCGCCTTGACGAGTTGTGGTGTGGTGCTAAGCATGGCAACGCTCAGTGAAGATGCCGACTACGATGCCGGCGAAACGTCTAGGAATGTACCACATCCACGGTCCGACTTTGGAAATGATTATGCATACAATGGACTCCGGACTAGGCGTGTTCCTTTAAGTCTTCCTACCAATCTAAGTTGCAAAAACGAGGTCAAACAACTTCTATACAATGTAAGGAGACTGCGACCACACAAAAGGCCACACCATCTTGGTCTTCATACCTCGATTATATAATTGGGCGAATCCTGGCATATTTATAAAGTCACATCTTCCGCTTGACCCATTGGCACTTGGACCGTGGCTACGACTGGTAACTTGCTACCGTTTAATTTGCACGATCTAAAGTCGAATCTGCAGGCAAGCTCGGATGGAAAGATTTTTAACTCAGGGTCATTGAAGATCCCAGGACATGGCGATGTTTTATTCACTTTTTTAGTGTAGACTATTTAGCTTTAAGCTTTTAATCATTTCCAGCCCCATAAAGTGAGCTTAGCTCTAATGCAATATCTACCGATAGTTTAAAAACTGCTTTGACACGGGTCAAAGTATTAAGAAAAATTCTTCTAACTCTAGCTGCAATTGCTTCTGCTTCTGTGACCGAATTCATTGCCATTTCCTTTAGTAACAAGATTGATTTAAATTAATCTGCTAATTAGAGGTTATCAATTAGTTTGCGCATTAAAAGGATTCATTTTGTAAAATCAAGGACCGTAATCACAAAGGTTATTTAATTTAACTCTTATTATATTCTGTTTGCTAGCAGATTACTTTATAATTCAATAATAGCCTTTCTTGTGATTCCCTTTTTTTACATTCTCAGCACGCCTTCCCTTGTTATTCAATATTTCATGTACTCTTTTGCGAAATTTTAATTGATTTTCATTCTAACTTAGTCTAGTCTAATTAACTTCTGGCAAAGAGTAAGAATCTAGTCCCACTAGGTTGCTTAAGTTGATTTAAGGATTGGTAACTGAGCTTCCTCCACGTTGAAATAAATAGTCCTCACGATGCCATTTTAATTTCATTTAGTCCTTTGAAGGCAAGACATAGTGAAATTCAGTAGCATCGGGCAGCCTGATTATGGAAAATCTCAACTATCAATCCTAGAATGATTACTTTCCTGTTTGAAAAATTATTGATAGTCTCGTACGCTACTCACATAGCAATCCAACAATTTAGTCATTTATAGCGTAGCATTATAAGCTTTAATAGATTTTCTTAAAATCCTAAGGAATCTCTTATTTTGTGAGGAACTATTTTCCAACAGTTAGCCTCCTAGCCACTGGATTTTGAGCAGTTGAGTCGGGCTTACATTGCTGAGAACTAGACTTTGTTCTTTATTTCCTGAAAGAGAGCGCACTTTTTTCTGGCCAATTTTAGGACTAACCTAAAATAGAACAAACACTCTCTTTGCAGACTATATTAGTATCTAATTTACACTATTAAAAATTACTCAGCACTTTTGAGTATTTAGAAGCACCGGCCACAGGTTGTTAATATGGCCATTTTTATCTGATGCAGATTCCCTTCAGAAAACCTTACTTGAATGTTTTACTATGCTAATTTTCTGGCTTTTTATAAAAACTCCCTTACGCCAATCTCAGCTGTTTATAAGATGAAATCCTATATTTGGTAATTAATTACCGACCATCTGCAGACTACTTACTATACTTTTCATCGCCCTTCCTCTACACTGCAGCTCATCTTGCGAGAAGGAGTTCATACATCTACTTGTGAAATTTTTTTGGTCCTCACAAATTATCTTTTACTCCGTCTTCAGTATTCCACTACTCTGCTTTTACTCTGACACTATACTTTGCGTCTTAGGCTTCTTCAGAATCAGGGCGATTTTCTGGTGCGCGAAACAAGCAAAAAAGCTTCTGATGCTGCCGTCAATACGCCTTTAATCGCTGTTGGAGCCAAAACGAGCACAAATTGCGTTGGCAACATTCAACCATTTGCCGTCTTCCATACAAATGGCATTCCTGCTTGCCATGCCAACCCCACCGTCGTAACCAAAATGGTGCTTTCTGTCTACTGGCATGGCCATAAACATTTCATCTTACAGGGCGGCCCTGCAATGAATGCTCCTGGTTGGTATCTTGAAGAAGGTGTCTTTCCAACCGTCCGGTTAGTACTAGTTTGGGATTTTTCCCCATTTTCTCTCCATTTTCCTCTCCCATTAGTTTTAGAGATAATCGTTTATCAGGTTCCTATGATCCTTTGCTCTTACCTCTCCGCTCAGTGCCAGATGTAAGGTTGCGCTGCAACTGCTCATTATTATGGAGCTAATTAAGTTATTGTGGTCTCAGACTTCTTGCGAAGACTATTGTGATTCCTTTTTATTAGCTTACTTTTAAAGCAATAAGTCGTATATATTACGCTCTGTATATACAAGATCCTAGAGTTAACATTACATTAATATCCGGGAATTATGCTAGTCAGAAAGATTAAATCATTAGATGTATTACCTTAGCCACGGACAGTATATATTTTACGCTCATTCTTAAATACGGGGCTTAGCTATTGGATCTTTTTTATCGAATAACAATATGGCTCAATTATGACTTCGATTGATTTAGGGATCACTCAAAGGGTCTGACTGTATTGTTTAAATAGTCTGGACTATATCGGTGAAATATTTGTTCAACTCATTAGTTTTACCGATAGGCTGGCAGAGAAGACTGAAAATATTGTTTCAGGTTGTTACCTCAATTGGTATCCACCTGTGGGTATCAAAACAAGAATGGGAGGGTTAATTACATGCTATAGAAGCTTGAGTCAAATAGTTATGCAAGCAGAAAAGAGAGAATTAATTTTGGTTATTGATAGGGCAGGTTCATTATTTTGAAAATAATGCTGCAGGTTCTGTTTGGTTTTGAATCTAATAGAATCATAGGTAGGCAGCCTTTAGAGACACTAGAGACTAGAATCAAGGGCTAGAAACGGAGAACTTTAAAGGGGAAAAATACATGTACTTGTTCAATGATATATTAGGCCTTCCAATGCACATGGTCTGCCCAATATTCACAAGAACGGGTTTATTGTAAATAGTAAAGATTGCAAGATACGTAGAAGACCAGGATTTATTGAAGAAATAAAGGGTTTCGAAGAATTTCTTTGCGATTTATTGTGACATGACTTTCCATTTCCAAAGCAAAGTTGGCTGGAAGGAAGTCATAAATTGGTCTGACCGAAAACCGAAGGAATAGTGTCGCTTTTACGTTAAATTTCGCATAGTCTTGCTTCCTCAAAAAGTATTCTCACCCAAGGTGGACCGCAGTTTCGACTTCGCTTAGGTCTTATCATCAATCCTATCTGGGCTCGAACCATTGTAATGCATCGTACAATCTAGAAAACCTATTATAAAACTGAAAACTATTTATGGCTGCTGGATAGGCCTAAGGAGAGGGAAATGGTGGCAGGAAG